AGCAACAGCAGTGGGGCCTCCTGCATGCCTTCCCAGTAGAGGGGCTTGTCCAAAGCTGAGAGTAGGGGCAGGTGTTTTGTGTGAGTGATGGGGATGTCTGGCTTACAAGCTTCATCCCATAGGCCCAAGAAGTGCCTGGAGCCTGGCGGGTGCTGGGACCACCAGGCAGTCCCTGAGACTGTGAGGATCTTCAGGGTGGGCAAGGACTGGGGTCAGCCCCTGGTGCAGACCCCAGCCCAGAGGGGCTGAGGGTACTGCTTGGCAGGTGTGAGTCTTCCCACTCAGGGCTCTGAGGTGTGGACAGATGCTAGGGTGGGCCTCTAGCAGCCTGGTCCCAGGGCAGTCTGGGCAATAACCCTGTGTGACCTTGGACAGGGCCTGCCACCCAGAGAGCTATCTGGCCTTCACTCACTGGAGCGTGGACATCCCAATTTGGAGGGACAACACTGAGAGGGCAGTGCAGCGATCAAGGAGTGTCTGTGCATGGAGAGGGCTACAGGGTCCCACTCTCTTGCCTGCAGTGACCTGTGTGGCAGGCTCAGCTGGCTCCACGGCAGGTCCTGAAGTGATCTGGCCAAGTAGGAGGGAAGAGCCAGTGCCACCTTGAGGGTGAGGTGCCCTGAGTGTGAGGATCCTGGTATGAGCAACACCCAGGACATCAGGGGGCACCTTCTGAGTGGTGGCAAGAAAACCTAGTGCGGTAGTGGGGAGCAGACGGGAGCGGACAGGGCCTGGTTCAGAGCGCAGACCTCACCACCTCAGTCTCCTCTGTGAATTGGGATGAATCAGGCCACATGTACTGACCCGCCTGACCTCTGTCCCTGACCCCAGGTGTAAGAGATAAGCACCCCTTGCTCAAACATGGCAGTTCGCTTCAATGTGCTCCCCTTTGCGGCCAGTGGAGTGAGACGCCCTGGGGAGCCACAGGCCAGATGAGGGGTCCCTTGCAGTGTGCCGGGCGGGGCGGTAGGGGCGGAGTCGGCTCACTAGGTGGCCAAGCGCGCACCGCAAATACGGCAGCGGGCTGCGGGCGCCTACTATGGGGAATACGGCGGCGGCTCCTCCCTTAGCGTGGTCACGTCCCCCACGTCCCACGGCCCGCCAGGAGGGGCGTCCTCTCCTCCCATACCCCTGCCCGGCCCCTCGCAGGTGGGACCCGCCCACGGCCGGCGTCCGCCCCTCCATCCCTAGTCTGGGAATCAAGAAATAGCGGAACCGGCGCCCATCCCCCTGCCCGGCTCTGCCCTCCTGTCCTGAGGGTGTTCCCTCTTCCGGGCCCCGCCTTCCTGTCCTTCCTTTCCCTCCCACACCTGCCCATTGAGTCAGAGAGGCACTGCCAGTGAGGGGAGGAGGGGCGCTGTGTGACCCTAGAGTCTGCCTCAGCCCAGGGGCTGCGTGGGAGTTATGGGCTGAGGTGTCAAGGCACTGATCCCAACCTTGGAGAGAAGGGGGTTCCACCAGTCCTAGAACATCCCCAGGGCCACCAACTGGGTGGCAGCCAAGGGTTGAAGCCTGCTTGGGGTACATACAGCCTTCCCCTTGTCACAGGCCCCGCCATCTTGGCTGAGGCTCTGGGCGGGCAGCTGGTCTTGAGCTCCAGCATCCAGCAGTGAGGCCAGCGTTTGTGCCCCACTAGCCCATATAGATGATTTGAGTTGACACAGGGGAGCCTTTGGAGGCATCAGGCATGCTGGGGTTGCGTGGGCCAGCGAGGGTCCAGGGCTGAGCCAGGCTTAGCTAGCCAGGATCAGACATGGGCAGATCCCTGCCCTGGGTTCCTCTTCTGCCAGTCTAGACCCCTCACAGAAAAGGCCCCTGCGCTTCCCACTTCTGGTTACTTGTTTGCACAATAGGAGCAGTGGGGGAAGGGTAACAAAGGGTAATAGGCCCCTCCTCCCAGGGTGCTGCGCCCTCTGCCACCCTGTGGCCAGGCACTAGTCACAGCTGGGCTGTTTCCTTGGTCCTTAGGTGACTCCCTGGAGTCCAGAAGGAAAAGTAACTGCCCCTTTTCTTGCCCTGCCTCCTGCTTAGGGCACAAAAGCTGGGCCAAGGCCTGTCCTTCCAAGGACTGGAAGTTGGTTAGGTAACAGGCCACGGCTTGGGGGCTTGGGCCACTGCATAGAACCCAGGGACAATGCCTGTCCTCTGAGGGTGACAGTCCAGCACACAGACCTCAGCAGTCCCGCTCAGACAGGTGAGGGGTCTAGGAGTCCTGAGGCCATGGGGGAGTTTGCAGTGGCTGTGCAGGCTCAGGATAGGAATGGTGCTGGAGGGTGCAGGGGCCTGATATGGCAGGAGCCCAGGCCTGGAAGCCTGGACCCCTGGACCCCAACAGACCCCTGCATCCCAGACCCTTGAGGGAACTGCTGGTGGAAGCCTATCATTTGGAAGGGACACTGGGCCCTCCGATGCGAGGCCTCATGGAAGGGTCATTCCAAGGACCCACCATAGGCCTTCCCTGCTCAGTTTATGGTAGCAGGGGTTATGGGGCCTCTGAGGACTTTGGGGAACCAGCTCCCCAGAAGCCAGGTTCTTTCGGGGCTGGTTTGACACTCCCCTAGGAGGGTTAATGTCGGGGAGGCCAGCCTGCTGATGTATGCTCATGGGTTAGCCAATGTGTGATGGACCACGGTGGTGCCTCTTCTCCTCGTGGTCTAGTTAGGGCAGGCCCAGGGTTTTCCTTGGACTAGCCAGCCTGTGCCTCAGCCTGTCTTGATGCTGGGGTTATACTGAAAGGTAGGGACAGTGATTCTTCATTTCACATACCTTCCCTACCCTCCACAGCTGTGCTACATAGGAATCTCTGGTCCTAAGCCACTGGGCAGACCGCTGGCTTGAGGTTAGCCCCACAGGGCCATTCTAGTGTGGCTGGTACCTCAGGCTTGGTGGGGACAGACTTGGTCTGAGTCTGGGCTTCTTGTCCAAATGCTCACCTCCTTGACGAAGAAGACTACCCTGTTCATAGGCGTTTTGCTCGGCCACACAGGTCCCTGAACAGGCTATCCCTCTTGGCTTGAGTCCTGACACTGCCCCAGCCCTCTGTGGAACTCCTCAACCCTGGGTTCATGAGACACCATGCTTCTGCCTTCCCAGATACCCTCTTCTGTCTCCTGAGGATCCTAGAAGCCTCCATAGAAGGCCCAGCCTGGCTGGGCAAGGGCAAATGAATGGGGACTTCAGGAAGCTGGGTGCCCATTTCCCCCGCAACCCAGTGCAGCCAGGAGAGCCTCAGGGCACTTGGACCTCCCCAGCTTACTTAGGGGGAGGACCTGGGGCATGTGAAGTTCAGCTGTTCCTTACTGTTGACTCTGGACAAACTCCCCTCCTTGGCCTGTCAGTAAAACCTGTAAACCCACAGCCCTAAAACAAGTTGGAGCCCCAGGACAACCCATTCTCCCCGATGACCACCCACCACTGTGACTTCTGGGCCTGGGGCACCCCTGCTTCCTGACATCACAGCTCCATGGCATCACAGTGCACTCCTCAAGTGTGTATGTTTCTCAGCGTTTCGGTTACCCACTGTGTATATCTCAGATACTCTGACCTTAACTCTAATGGCGGTGAGACACAAGCTGCTACTCTGTGCCCCACTTAGCATGTCCTGGGGGGCTGCTCCTCTCATACTAGGCTCTGAAGGTGGACCTCTGCCCCACCCTGGGGGGGTGGGGGTGTCTGTCTTGTCATCACTCTGACAACAAAGGTCAGTCTGGGGGGAGCAGTCACTAAGCAGTGCTAAAAGGTAACAGCAACTGCTTAGAACATCCAGGAAGCCTCAGAAAACAGTCCTCAGGTCACTGTCTCAATCGGGGTTCCTAGGGGGCACAGCATGTGTGGGCATGGGAGGGGCTGCGGTGGCAGGAGTGTCAGGAGCCTTCCACACTGAACTGCCACCCTCCTGGCACATCAGCTCATCCTCAGGGTTACATATACACCTTGGCCACAAAGACTGCACCCATGGAGGCTCTGCCAGGCCAAGGGTCTCTGGACACGTTTGTAGGAGGACCCCAGGAGAAGGGGCAGGGGTGGAGCCAGCACAGGTACAAAACTGTGGACTAATGCTCCTGGTGCAGCCCAAGGCAGCTGGGGGGCAGGCATGCTGGCTTTAGTGGGGTGTTCATGCCACGGAATTGGTGGACGTTACACATTGAGTTTTTTCTTTCCAAAAAGCTGATTTATCAGTGGTGGGGAGGCCATGCAGGCTGGACTGAACCGCCCCAGGTCTTGGGACACCAGCCCAACACAGCTGGCCTTGGTGAAGCAGGGCATGAGGCTGCCAGGCTGATGTCTAGATTGTGGGACTTGGGTTGGGGCAGGGCAGATGGGAGTCTGGCCACACCCCAGTTTACTCTGGCTCAGGTGAGCTAAGCTCCTGGAGCTCACAGAAAGGGACGCCTTCTCTGGGTTGATGTGGAGCTTGGAGAAACTCTTCCTTGCGTCCTGGGGCTGGGCAGGACCGTCTCTATCACCCATGGATGACTGAAGCAGAGGTGAGCGCAGGTGGGGAAGGGGCCTCTGAGGGCCACAGGGGACAAGTGGCTGGCTCTCAGCCCCTCATCCCACTCCTGGACAACCTTTCCTTCCGTGCTTCAGGCTTTTGGCTAGGGAGCCCTGTTCCCCCTGGGGGCATGAGCCCAAGGCTGGTCAGGGTCCACCTAAGTTTAGGTTTAGAGTCTGGAGATACGACCCCAGGACAGAGTGCAGGTTGCTGCCAGAGTCAGCTGCAACACAGCCAGGCTGACTTCCTTGCCAGGGGCTGCCCTCCCAGGAGGTAATCTGAACCCAAGCTAAGCCCAAAAAAGCCACTGCTGCCCTTTAGAGCGAGCTATATGGGCACAGGAGGTGGGGTAGAGGTTGGACAGGGCCCCAGCTGCTGGCCCCCAACCTTCCCACCCTGTACCAGGCACGAGGTAAGGGGGCCAGGGTCGGGGGTTCTAAACTGACCCCCAGATGCAGGGCTGCAGCTGGTGAGTGTGGACAGTCAGCCCCTTTTCTCTCTCCCAGGTGAGGCGAGCCTGGCCATGGGAGGAGCCGTGGTTGACGAGGGTCCCACGGGTGTCAAGGCCCCCGATGGGGGTTGGGGCTGGGCTGTCCTCTTCGGCTGTTTCATCATCACAGGCTTCTCCTACGCCTTCCCTAAGGCCGTCAGCGTCTTCTTTAAAGAACTCATGCACGAATTTGACATTGGCTACAGGCACACGGCCTGGATCTCCTCCATCCTGCTAGCTATGCTCTACGGGACAGGTGAGGGCCAGCTGCCACCTGGCATCCATGTGCAAGGCCAGCCAGGCCACAGGGACTGGAGACCTGGCTCTGGAGGGAGGGATCCTGCGGTTAAGCTACTGCCTGCCCATGAAACGGGGCACAGGCAAAGTGTCTTGGCCCCCATCCAAACAGGCTGGTCATATTTATAGACAGTCCCAGAGGATGAGGCTCCCAAAGCTGTTCTTCAAAGACAGCTAATTCTCAAGGGCCCACAGGCCAACCCATGGGTTCCTATAGGGGCAGGCCTCCTGCCATGAGAATCCTACTCCGCATGTGGCCTGTGGGCTCTGGTGCACCTGCTCAACTTGAGGTGGTGGGAGGTGATGGGTTGTGGGCTGTGAGGCGTCACAGCCTAGAACCCGGCCTGGCTGTAGGCCTGGCTGGCCCTGCCCCTGCCCCTCAGCTGCTGCTTCCCCCAGGCCCACTCTGCAGTGTCTGTGTGAACCGCTTTGGCTGCCGGCCTGTCATGCTGGTGGGCGGCCTCTTAGCATCCCTGGGCATGGTGGCTGCGTCCTTCTGCAGGAGCATCGTTCAGGTCTACCTTAGCACCGGGGTTGTCACTGGTGAGTGGAGCTGGCCACAGGACCATGGGTGCCATCCTGCTAGTGCTATCCGGGGTGGGGTGGGGACTGGGGCCTCTGCAGGGCAGCTGGGGGTGTCCTCTGGGAGACACTGGCCTGCTCCTCACCTCCTGTGTCCGGAGTGTGTCAATGGCAGGGGCTCTGCACACTCTAGGTCTGTGGCTGGGAGAAGCTGGGAACATGGCCTCACCTGCGGCCCCCTCTCCTCTAGGCTTGGGTTTGGCACTCAACTTCCAGCCCTCGCTCATCATGCTCAACCGTTACTTTAACAAGCGGCGCCCCATGGCTAATGGGCTGGCAGCAGCAGGCAGCCCCGTGTTCCTGTGTGCGCTGTCCCCGCTGGGCCAGGTACTACAGGACCACTATGGCTGGCGGGGTGGCTTCCTCATTCTGGGCGGCCTGCTGCTCAATTGCTGTGTGTGTGCTGCACTCATGAGGCCCCTGGTGGCATCCCAGCCAGCCAGAGGGCCGGGGCCCCAGCAGCCCTCCCGGCGCTTGCTGGACCTGAGCGTCTTCCGGGATCGTGGCTTCATCCTCTATGCAGTGGCCACTTCCATCATGGTGCTAGGCCTCTTCGTGCCACCCGTATTTGTGGTGAGCTATGCCAAAGACCTGAAAGTCCCAGACACGCAGGCTGCGTTCCTGCTCACCATCCTCGGCTTCATCGACATCTTTGCGCGGCCCACTGCCGGCTTCCTCACTGGGCTTGCGAAGGTTCGGCCCTACTCTATCTACCTCTTCAGCTTCGCCATGTTCTTCAATGGCTTCACAGACCTCACAGGCTCCACGGCCAGTGACTACAGCGGCCTGGTTGTCTTCTGCATCTTCTTCGGCATCTCCTACGGCATGGTGGGGGCCCTGCAGTTTGAGGTGCTCATGGCCATTGTGGGTACTCACAAGTTCTCCAGCGCCATTGGCCTGGTGCTGCTGCTGGAGGCAGTGGCAGTGCTCATTGGCCCCCCATCAGGAGGTGAGTGCAGTGCCAGGGACCCTTCCTGACAAGACACCTGCTTGGGAGGTGGGGTGGGGGGTGCACAGCCCTTCTTCCCACAGGTGTCACTGTGGTGGGGAGCCTGGTCTAGCAGAGCTCACCGGCACACACACACACAGCCAAGTGGCATAGCCAGGAAGCCTTTTTTGTCATTTGGGGGCTTTTCTTATTGAAGTTGACAGAATTGAGTGGAATTTAAAAGTTTTGACGCAGCAAGCAGGTCTAGCCTTTGGCGACTGTGCTGCTTTGGAAGTTGCTTCACTTCCCAGGTGTGGGTTTGCCCAGGTGGACCTTGTAGCCTCTGGCTCTACCCTCCCCAGAAAGGTCCTAGAGTGGAGGGAGCCCAGGCTCCACCACCTGACACACCATCTCAGGCTCTGGGATGTCCACACACAGGGCTGCACTGTCTCTACTGCCCACCTCAAATATGTCTTTGCTCCCTTGGGGATGAGGATACCCCTCCCCAGGCTGGGACACATGCTATGTGGGAAAACCGCTTTCTGTCCCCATTGGTTTGGAGGCAGCTGGGGGACCTATGTGGAGGCCCTACGATGTCTAGAGACTAACTAGAGAAACACAGAGGCCTTAGCAGGAGCCCAGGGCCAGGGTGGCAGCTGCACCTGCCAGCACAGTGTGTGACTGGGTCCCCTTGCAGGTGAGCTTCTGGATGCCACGCACACCTACAAGTATGTGTTCATCCTGGCGGGGGCCGAGGTGCTCACTTCCTCCCTGGTGCTGCTGCTGGGCAACCGCTTCTGCATCAGGAAGAGGCCCAGGGAGCCTCAACCCGGGGTGGCTGCAGAGGAGGAGCTCCAGAAGCCCCGGGTGGACAGAGATGCCGGGGTGGACTCTTGTGAAGTGGAGCAGTTCCTGAAAGCGGAGCCTGAGAAGAACGGGGAGGTTGTGCACACCCCGGAAACAAGCGTGTGAAGGCCTGGCTGGGCTGGCAGGTACAGGGAACAGGTACAGAGACTGGCAACGCTCGTATTTATTTCACAAACAGGACTAGCTTAAGCGGGGCCCTCGCTCGGCTCCGGGTGCCTGGTTGGCGGGTCGTCACTTGAGCAGTGTTTTGCAGGGGAGGTGGTGGGCGGGAATCATGTCGTTCCAAAGCTGATCTGCGGTGAAGCCAAGCTGAGGTTATGAGCCGTCTGCACCAGGGCCTGGCCTGCTGACCCACAGCCCTGAGCCCACCGCTGTGCTCAAGGACCTAGAACCCACGCTTCAGAGACAACATGACTTTAATCAGAGGGCTTGCTAGGTACAGGCTGGTGGGTGGGCACTGCTGCAGGGGCCCTCCCTCATGCCTGTCTGGCCCACTGTCCTGCACCCCTGGACTCTGCAGTGGTGTCCTGTGCCTACCGCCTCAGTGTCCAGTGCACAAAGTTCCTTCTAAACCGGGAAGGTGGAAAATAAACCAGTATGGAAGGAGGCTCAGGGGAACCTTTCCCTAGAAGTGTGTGAAGTTGTGTCCTCTGTGGTCTGTTCAGCCCAAATGTCACTTCTATTAAGAAATGACCTGGTACTGGCACAAAGTGGATCCAGTTGTCCTCAGCCTTCTTAGGCTGTTAGACAGAACAACCTGGGGGCTACCCTGGGGGTTGCTCAGCAGGCATGGAGCACGTGCTGGAGAGGGGTGCATAGTGCTGCACCTGGGCTGGTCTCTGAAACCCACAGGCAGCCCCTAACTGTGTGCCTCTTCAGCTGGAAGAACGCAGGTGGCTGCTGCTACAGGTGTTTTAAGAAAGAGGATTTTACTGCCTTCTGTTTATTCACCCCTCTGGTTGGCGGGCAGTGAGCTAAATGGTGGGTTGGCTCTTTATGTTCCTCTGTCAAGCCCCTGGCTCAGTGTGGCTTGCCCTGGGCACCTCACACCCACCTGCCCTGGTGGCTGGCAGCAGCCTGCGTGCCCGGTCAGAGGCCGCTGGGGCTCTCAGTAGGTGGTGCGTCGCGGGCGCTGGGGACGGCAGCGGGTGCCCTGACGGGCAGCGTGCAACCGGAGAGACGCCACATCCCTGCTCCTCTGAAATGAAAAGCAAGCGAGAGCACACGTCTCAGGTCCGGTCCCCTACCTGCCATGGCCTCACTTGCCCAGTGCTGCATTAAGAGCTAGGCTCAGGCACTGCTGGTGGCCTCTACTGTGGGGAGCTGCCTGCCAGGGCCTTGGGCTGGTTGACAGTATTGGCAGCTCTGAGCAGTCACAGGCTGAGTGTCACCAGAGAACCCACCTTGCGCCTGACCTTACCTGCTGTGAGGACTACAGGGACTCTAAGCCTTGATGTGGGCTAAGCCCTAAATGCAGCTAATAGGCCCATGGTCCTTCACAGCTGTCTGTATGATCCAGAGGGACAGAGCAGGGGTGAGGTGGTATGGGACTCAGTGGGACAGACATGCTGCCCACACACTTCCCCAGCTGCCCTCGACCCTTTGGGAGCTGCTCAGATCTGTTTCCTTCTCTCCCAGCCCACTGGGACCCTAATAAGTTGGCTCTGGCTGTCATTGTGGGCCACACCGTTGGCCCTTTATGCTTGAGTCCCCATGGGGGCAGGCATACCACGAGGCAGCAGTAAAGTGGCAGCCCCCAGAAGTCAAGGCTTGGGGACACTGATGGTCAATTTTAGGACAACACCCTGCAGGATGGGCATGAGCTCTGCTGCCCCCTCTCTCAGTAGGGCCTTCGTGGAGGATGCCATGGGGCAATGCCACAGTGTAGTCACAGCATGTGCACTAGGGGGAGAAGGGAGCAGATATCCGTTCCACCTACTTTTCTGGTTCCCAAAGCACAGAAAGGACTTCCTGTCCTCAAGAAACTGCCTGATTGTGTGATGGGGAGGGGGAGAAGGAAAGGGCTATGCTGTGAGCAGAGCTATCCCCTACTCCCTTAACAAATTCTGGTGCCAAAGGAGGCTCCCATCCACCACCCTGTTTAGGCACACCCCCTTGTGACACATGCTGGCCTGTGTGTGGGCCTGGGGAGCATCATAGCACAGGTCATACAAGATGCCTCATGGGGTGATCAAATGAGCCAGGCTCCAGGGCTGCTGCCCACCCGACCATCTGCCAGCTCCCTGGCCTCGTGGAGCATCTCTGACCCCAGCCCCAAGTCTCAGAGGGAGATTGGGCCTCTGCAGAAACACTGGAGACAGACATGTGGGCAGCTGTGCAGGGAGCAGAGGGAGAGGCAGGGGTTCAGCAAGGGCCTGGCACCATCCAGGCCTGGCAAGGCAGCTCCTGATTCTCAACGCCCTCGCTGCATCCTTAAGGACTGGGATCAGAGGAACCAGCTCTCTTCACCAACTCCCATGTGCCTTCACAGGGAGATAGCTCCAGGCATTGGGAGGCCAGGCAGGACTCAGAATATGGGCTGAGTCTGGGGACCCAGGGAGGTTCCATCCTGGGCAGGTGACAGTGAAGAGCGAGAAGGGGCAGGAGGAATCCCTTGCCAACCCTTTCCCAGAACCTTGTGAGGCAGGTCTGGAGAGTGAAGGCCCCGGGTGGCCTAGGGGGACCTGGCCTCAAAAGCCTAGTCAGGAGGCCTGGAGAGAGCCTGGGGTATGGGGTGGCCCCGTGAGGTCTGGGCAGGAACATGTCACATGCAGGGTTGGGGAGACCGCTGTGCAACTGCCCTTTAGCACACCTTGCATGGCCGTAGGCAAACCTGCTCTGTTCCTAGGCAGCCCCAGCACCCCCAGTGCAGCCCAGGAAGGCTTCTTGTACTTGGGCTACTACAAAGAGCAGATCCTCACCCTGCTGGGCAGGTGGCGGGACCTGCTGATGCCCTGTCCCTAGACCTTGGATGGGTCACCAAGACTGGGACAAGGCTGTAAGCCAGACCAAGGGACCGACGCCTTTTCCCCAGATACTTTACTGCTGAGAAGGGCCATGCCTGCGAGAGGGGACCTTTCCTGGGACAGAGGCTGCTGGAAGCTACACATAGCCCACTGCAGCAGCGAGGGGCTGCCAGAAGAATTGCACTGTCAGTGGCCAGAGCCCATTGAATGTTGGGGCCCATTTCCTTTCCTAAAGGCAGTGAGGCTGAGTGAGGGGCAATGCCTACCTGTCCCCACCACAAGGCGCCTGGACACAGACTCTCCCACCTGTTTCCCAGCTCACAGACACTGACAAGCTAAGAAAGGACAGACAGGAACCCCGATCCTCAAAAAACCTTTTTACATTGTTAATCGAAACACACTGAAAACTCCCAAGTCGACGAAATAAAGACCACAGGGAAGGGGCAGGAAGAAAGGTAGAAGTCGTCATGTATTTATTATTTACACCATTGTTAAAGTACACAAATACAGTGGTGATACAAACGCACAGCTCAGAAACAGGTGACCACTACACAGGTCAACAGACTTAGAACTATGTTTCCTGCAAGTGACGATGCGGATTAAATACTGGACAACTGCCACAGCCACACCCCCTTGAGGACTTGAAGCCGTGTGCACGTCAATGTCAATGAAATTCAGCAACTCAGGCCCAAACCTGGGTGAGGATGTCAGAGGCTGTCCCGCACAAGCTTCCTGGCACCACATTGAGACCACGGGTATTTTATAAAGAAAGCTCGCACCACATGGGCTGTCACTGCTAACATTTCACCGAGTGGGGGAATCTAACTGACCACATAGCAACAAAGAAAACCTCAAATTCGCCCGACCTCAACCCCCGAGCCGCCTTCTCCACTCCCAGACACGCAACCCCACATCCCAAATTCGGGAGGCAGCACCCAGGCAAAGAGCCACACCCTGGGAAGCCTACCCTGCAGCATCCCAGGCCAGTACTCATGAGCTGGGGCCGCTGAGGGAAGGAGAATCCAAGGTAGACGACGTCACTAGCCTCCATCTAGAGCACCCTGCATGACGTCAGGAAGAAAGGCAGAAGTACCAAATAGACACTGCACCTTGCCCAGAGATGGGCGAGCTAACGTCCCCTGGCTGTCATACTACCAGGCAGCCAATCTGCTGGCTGCAAAATTAAAGGCAAGAAAGCACATACGTAGCCACCTGTCCTGTAGGGTGGCACCAGCCAGGGAGGCCGCGCTCCTAAGTCACTTCTGATCAGCTCACGTCCATCAGACCAGGACCCAGCATGTGGTGGCACCACCCTCTCTGGCCAGGCCAAGAGTCACCTACTTCTTGGCACTTCAGGGTGGATCCTTTAGCTCGTGGCTTTTCCAGGCAAAGCCCTTGGCCTCTAGTGAGGACAGCTTCCCTCCCTGGCTTTGAGCACATAGGTGTCAAATGCAGACTCGCAGCCGATGCATGATAATATTTACAGTCCTATTTAGAAAATTTCCCAAATTCAAAGGCAGTGAGGCAACAAACACCACCAAAATAACCACACATGACCCCAGCATCTCTTGATTCATAATCCTCTCCCAAAGAACCAGAAACGCATACTCAACTTTTCATCGTGGAACTCGCCACTGTCCACTTGTCTCATAGCCTCCGCTTCCAAGCTTTTCAGAGTTCTCCTTTCCTCCCTGGGAGGCGGCGCGGTGAGCCTGCTGCCTTGCCCTGGAGCGCTTCCCACCTGCTCTGAGGGTGGCAAGAGAGGAAGGCCAGCAAGGCCCACGACACACCCCCACACAACACAACTCTGATGAGAAGTTTCCTTCCAAAGTGGACAACATAATACAATAGACGAGACAAACACAACACACACCCTGGAAACCCATGTGCACCCTCTCGCTGCCTGAGTCCACTTCACACAGAAACTCCAAGCCAGTGTCTTTGTTTCAGGATTCTTTAAAGTCAACATCTTTTTTTATGACCGCAAAAACAGACAAGAAACAATAAAAAGACAGATTTCTTTACACAGATTTAAGCCAATAATTTTTAGCAAAATGATACAAAACTGTCTTAACCAAGTAGAAGATTGGTAGTTACAGTGGAATTGTCAGGGAGCACAGGTTTACCACCACTGCAGGGGAGTCTGAGTCTCTCTGCAAACGTCTCTCACTCTCTGCTTTTCTTCCCAGCCCCGTTACAACTGAGTTCCCGTGGGGGGCCTTGGTGGCCCCGGTGATGGCAGCTCTTGGAGTCTGTCCGTTTAGTTTGTGTTTTGTTTCCCCCATGAGCATCGCTGGGTGAGTGGCCTGCAGAGGTCCCGGTTAACGCTTCGGTTCTAGACCGGGGGGGCGCGTCACTAGTAAAGCCATTGGTAACAGAGTAGATCAGCCATGCATTGTCTGCCCTTCACAGCAAGAAGGAGAGTTCTCATCGGTGCACGACAGACTGAAGACCACTGGAAGCCACCCGACCGGGAATCTGTCGGAGCCAAAGCACAGGAGAAGGTCAGCATGAGGCCAGAGGATTGGGGCCAGCCGGGCACTCAGGCACAAATACCACAGTGATGGAGCCTGGTAGGAGGGGATAAACACTGCCGCCGTGCCCCAGTCTAGGAGCCTGCACCCCTGGCCACAAGAAGGACTCTGTGGCCAGGCTAAGCTGTCAGACTGAATGATGGGAAGGGAGGAAGAGGCATGCAGGCAAGATGACCCCAGAGCCACCTTGGCAGCCATTGGTGAGGATCCAAAGGAGACAGACACTTGCTCACAGCCTCCCTTCCTGGAAAAGTAACAGGGTATTTTGAAAAGTGTCCCTTTGGGGGACGACGTGAAAAGCAGTTCCTGTCAACATGTTTCTGAGTGTGCACAGCCTCAGAGCCGCAGCAAGGCTCCCAGACCCAACTGAAGCTCAAGCCCCTGCTGGAAGGAGCTGCCCAGGGCTGCGTCAGACAAGAAGGGAGCACAGCGTGGATGCCCAGCCATGCGCCAATGTGGGGAGCAGTGACTGCAGCTGGAGTGGCTACTACAGACAACAGCTGCGTGGACAAGATGGCTGGGCAGAGACCAGGTTGGAAAAGAAACACAAAATGAAGACAGAGATAAATGAGAGATAGGAAGAGAAACGACTAAAAAAGCCAGGACAGGCAGAGACCACCAGAAGTCTGAATGCAGCAAGAGCTCAGAGCTGCCCACACCAAGCGAGGCCACTCAGCTGAGCACGACACACACCCCTCCCAGGCATGACTGTCCCCAGACAAGGCGGCTCAAATGCTCTGGGCCAATCTGGAGCCAGGCCTGAGGGCAGCACGGTGGCGCCTGCTTTGCACCCGCGACAGAAGGGGCGCACCAGCACCATGAATGCAGTATAGGAGGCTAAAGGCCAAGGGTACAGCAGGACAGTTACTCTGCTCGAAGACACACTGTGTGCGGCTTCCCCCTCATCGGGGCAGCTGAAGGCAGCAGTTCTGGACCCTCACAAGGAAAAGAACAAGTCTCACTCTACCTCTGGCACCTGGCATGCAGCCTAGCCCCACCTGCGAGCACCTGCAGGTGGAAGGGGGGTGGTGCTCCCAGCCCACCCGGCGCCTGCCACCTGCCAAGCCCACCATGAGCACACTCACCCAGTGCTGCCTTCCGACGGGAGACGAGCAGCTACTTGCCGTGGTGTTCGAAAGGAATGCTATTCTGAGGTGGGGAAAAGACAGCTGTTGGTAAGCGTCCCACCAGCCGGCCAGCACTTGAGGCCCTGGCCCCCTGTATCCAGACAGGCTTCCACGTCTTAGCCAGATCAACCTGGGGGGACCCAGGGAACAGGCACAGCCTCAGGGGCCCCTCACCACTGGGCTGCAGGTAGGAGTGGCGGGTGCTCCTCTTCTAGACCCAGTGAGGCTGTCGGGGCACAGGACAGACCCTCCTAGCTCTCATGTGCTGAGAACCTAATGCCTAGCAGGCAGTAGGGACGTCAAGGGCCCTACAAGTGGGTCCAGTAGGCAGGTGGTGGGGATGGCAACACCCCGGGACACATGGACAGGACATACTTTCTCACTACTATGAGGACTGGTAAGGCAGATCTTATTTTGGGGGCAAGGCATGGACTAAAGATAGACCTCTAAAGGAGTAACTAATCTTTCTGTGGACAATTCTGGACTGATGAGGCCTTTCTTCTCACAAAGTGAAAAAAATACAAAACCAAGTATATCCATGGCCCTAGTGCCCTTTAGGGACACACAACCTATCAAGGAGGCTCAGCCTGACACAGATTGTCCTCAAGAAGCAGGGGAGGGGGAGGGAAACAGGACAACACAGGGCGCAGGGTCTGGGAGTGACTAGGCCCTGGGACAGAGAGAAGCTGCCCTGGCAACTGCATGCTGGACATCATCACACGCTGGCTGCTGGTCAGAGCCTGGGAGCAACAGGAATTGTTTCTGCTAACATCTCCACTGGGAAAACTGACTCTTGAGAGACACAAAGAACTAGAGAAATGGCAGCCCATGGAGAAGATGAGTGGGGATGTGCACACTGTAAGGTTCTATCCCCAGGGCCTGCCTCTCCCTGAGAAGCAAGTACATTGATGCTCTACTAGGACCCCTTTCTTTGGGAGGCATGTGAATAGGAGCTGCAGAACTGTGTGGACCACAGAACTCCACTTGCCCTGCCAACTTCCAGACCCAGGGCAGACGCTCAATGTAGGTTTTAAAACTTATTTATCTCCCCGGATGCAGAACCAGGGGCTGCAGTCACAGAGCCACTGAGCACATTGGCGCAGACGGAGCCTGGAGGGCAGGAGACACACTGTGAGCAGAAGCCTCCAAGAGACAGGAGGGAATGCTGAGGACAACCTATAGGTTCGTGCCCTCAGCACAGGTGTTTCAAGAAACCCCCTGGTGGGTGACCAGGAACAAAAGCTATGAAAAACTCTCTGGAAACTCATCCCTGCCATTAAAGCCCATCTTACATTTTGTTCACATGGAAAACAAATAGCCCAAGAGTGCAGAGGCATGTAAGCGCAAGCCACAAGCTCATCGCGGAAGGAAGCGCACTTTTCCCCACCACCCTGGAGCTGTGTGTTGTCCCTCAGCACCTGTGGAGGCTGGCAGGCTGAGATAGCCATGCCCTGGGCACTGGCCAGGGTCACACAACCAGGAAGGAGCTGCTAGCTGGGCTGCAACTGCCCAGCACCCTTGAGAATTCCTGTCATTTCCCTGTGATTCCAAACCACTGGATGTCTTAAGAAATTAAGAAAAGCTATGCTTCCTCTTCCTTGGTCTTTGCCTGCCTCACTGCTGATATGAGGATATCTAAGGCCAGCCAGAGTACATCACACACAAGCCATACCTGCTCCTGCATTGTGGGCTGGGCACTATGGAGGGCCCACGTGAGAGGATTGACAGGCCCAGGGGCCCCCCAAACCTGCTCTCAGCTGCTGAGGCAGGAACCCCGGGGTTCATGTGAAGCCTTCTTAGCCCTGTGCCACAGGGCTGTGGGGCTAGAGGCTGCAAAGTTGTATGCATGTGAGGGGCCCAATCTCATGATGCTGGCCAGAACTCTTGAGCCCCACAACTCAAATAATCAGTCATTCAAATTCCCTGAATCTTAGGTCTCTCTGGGAGAAAGTTATCACACAGAAAGTCCACTTCCAGTAAAATGATCATTAGAAATATTCAATGGAAAGATTAATTTTCTGGTAAGATGACAGGTGGCCAACAGCATCCATGCTACTTAGGGCCCATCCCCACCTGGTCAACTGGACAGGACAAGCCTCCCGTGTGTCTGTGGAATGTGCTCCTGCTCAGCTGTGACCACACCTTGGTGAGCCAGGAGCCTCCCCTGACACTGCCCTCCCCACCTGGGGCCCCAACCCTTGCCCCCTGCTGGAGACCCTGAAAATGATTTCAAGAGAAAGAATCAGTTTATATGTAAAAAGCTGTTCGAGTCTACTGAAAGAAGCATGTTAGTGAACACAAAAAACCAACAGTAACAAAAGTAAGAGCAAGAAGGGAAGATGTTGGTGGAAGAAGATGGGCATGAGGACACACCCCCGTGGCCAGGCCTGCGCCACCCTGCCTTTTGCTACATAGCAGGCCTGTTTCTCTGTGCACACTTTTCTTGTAAGAGAAGAAAAATTGATAAGGTCAAGATGAGAAGCCTCATCCCACACCATGCCACATGGGCTGCTTACCACTGGAAGGCTCCCACCCCCAGCCAGCAGGTGTGGGCAGCTCCTACATGGAGATTCTTCCCAGGCTCTTTGCCAGGGTGAGCTCCCAGCCAGCAAGCCTAAGGAAAGCTCTCAGAGGCAGGGTGGGCCCACAACACCCTTCCCTAAGAGGTGTGAGTGGGCATGCAATGTTCATTCTGTGTGGGGAAGAAGGGTGGTGGGGCACTCAAGCAGCAGCAGGGAACAGGCCTCTTTTGGCTCATGGCTCTGCCTGTCACCTGACATCCTACAGCTGGAGAAAGAGCCCTTCTGCAGTGCACTTGGCTGAGGCTCAACCAAGATGCAAGCCCAGCAACTAGGAACACAACTTCCCCACAGGTTAAAAACAAAAATGGGGAACATAAAATAAAGAAGGAAATAAGAAAAGCAAGCCTTCAAGAAACTCATCTTACTCTCAATTTGGAACTCATAAGACAGGGTAAGCCAGAGGCTCGGCGCTGACACATCCCCCCATGCCTGGGCCTGGCCTGGCCTCAGTGGGCTCCGTGTGCGTACCTGTGAGGTGGACATGCGAGAGGTATCTTGTCGGCCCGTGAGATCAGATGAAGAGATGTTGACAGGGGCCCCACGGTGCAGCCGCATACTCACTTTCCGCTCCCTTTCCATGCCAGAGACAGGCCTAGGAGAGGTGTTAGCTGAGGAAAGGGAGAGAAGTCGGAGTGAGCACTCCTGACCCATCGTTCTGGCTCCTGCACAGGGGCCTCTCCTTGGGAAGCTGTGGCCAGCAACGACCCTCAGTAGCTTGAATGTCTCAACAAACTGCAAGGGCAGCAGGGAGGATGGGCACAGCCAACCCCAATTCAGAGAAGCCCAGCACCACATGCCTCTGTCTGTCACCCAGGAACACCTGCAGGGGGGGAGGGGCAAGGGCACCAAGGCCCATGAGGCCCATAGCACATGGGCATGGGGAGTATCAAAAGGCTCCCATAAGAAGGATTTGTGTGGAGCAAGAAGTAAATTTTATGTACATAATGACTACAAACAGCAGCAGCAGCTTTCAGAAACTCAACTCTTCAGGAGACCAAGTCTTCTAACCATGTCTAAAGGTGTTAATGCAAGGCAGCTACCCCCAGGGGCACATAAAGGCTCACATGGCTAAGACTCTCTCCAGGCCATAGAGTCCCCACATGAAACCCTGGAAATACAGGCAAGACAGTGCTGATCACCTACTCCAAAGGAGCTCTGTGAGGAGTGCACTCACCCGTGTGTGAGGTAGGGGTGAGAGGTGTGGGGGGAGCCACTTCCTGGGTGCCCCGCAGACGGCCAGAGGCCGTGGAAGGGAGGCCACGGGTGGCTGGGTTCCGGGAGTGTCTCAGCCGCTCCTCTCGATCCCGCCGTTCTCGCTCAGTATCGTCAGCAGCCCGGCTGGCACCCTAAAAAGGAAGAATGAAGTGGGACCAGTTAGGCACCATGTTAGGGAAGAGCAATGTCCCTTAACAACCTGAGAAAACACTGAGGGGCCTCAAGGACAAGACTGCCCTGAGAAGCCATCCACAATAGCACAGTGAGCCAGAAAAGACATTTCCCCCCGCAGAGACAGGGGTACAATCCACGGTGCTAAGCCCCCTCTGTCCTTCTTCAATAAGCCAGAGAAAATCCCCTCCTATGCTGAAGTGCCAGCAACTCAGAACTTCCTCAAACTTCAAAATGAAAAGTGAATGGGTGGCTACTCCTCTGTGCACATCTACACAGCACACAACAGACAGAGGTCCAAAATGCCCAGAGCTGGGGGAAGACGACGAGGTAGGGCGGGGGACCCACAGTATCTGGTTCACCTAAGTCCTCCCCCAGCAGCAATGCCACATTGCCCTGACACCAGCAAGAAAGGCACATATAGGCAGGGTGACAAGGCTGGTACTCAGGTCCCTGCAGGACACTGTAGACACATGAGCACCAATGCCTTCAAGCAGTTGAGCTGAGGTGCCAGTCACTGAGGACTGCATTCTAATTAGCAACACTGAGGGACAGGAGCCTACGTGCTACGGGCCAGACCCAGGTGCCACCTGCCCTGCAGAGTGTGCTGTATACAGCCACACCAGCTTGTTTAATGTCATCTGCAGCCAGCAAAGCTGTAATTATTTACTATTTGGCCGTTTACAGAGAAAGTCAGACCAGTGCTCAAGGGATAAAGGATGAACACAGTATTGCCCAAGGGCTGCTCTGTTGTTGTCTGGCCCTAGAAGGACTGAGCTCCTGCTGGCAGAGTGCATTCAGGCCCAGCTGATGGGCACCCCACCCTGCCTGCCCCCACACAGCCATCTGAGAAGGCTATGCCTCCTTTGCTCCCTGAAGAGGTAGTTCTGACCTTCTATCAGATTTTGTCATCTGGAAAGATTTCAACTTCTTCATTACTGACAACATAATAATTTTTTTTTCCAGTTTTTGTTTTTGGCCCGGGGCTGGGTTTGAACCCACCACCTCCGGTGTATGGGGCTGGCACCCCACTCCTTTGAGCCACAGGCACTGCCCCCATAATAAATTTTTAATCAAAGAGAACACAAAGTTCAACGAAACTTCAATTCTGGCAGTGGTATCCAAAAAGTCAAACTTACACAACCGACCCAAGGACAGGCTGCCTGTGCAGAGGCCCAGCAGTCTTCAGGTCACATGCAAGACACTCCTACATGCAAAGGCCCAGAGCACAGACTGTGGTAACTAAGGACATGAGGCGCAAACCCAGCCCACTAGGGTCAGTCAGGCTGAGAGTGTACCCACCAGCCCCTCCTGGGCAATAAGGACACTTGGTACCCCCCACCTCGGGCACAGGTGTTTGAGAGGCAGGAGCACTAGGGTGGAGGCTTCCAGATAGACAGCAGCCTTGGAGGTGCCTGCCCGCACCACAGGCAAACAGACCTCAGGTGCTCCAGGGCTGGTGATGACGACAACAGAACAACTTTTCAATGAGAGAGGATTCCACCACCCAGTCAGAGCCCTGCTCTCGGCAGACCTGCATGGGGGGCAACCAGCTCTCCCTGTTGGGCATCTGGCTTCTCAGTACCCCTTGCCCTCATGCAGACACCCTCTCAAGCCAACCCAAATTACTGGCAGCTCAGGGATCCAGCTGGGACAACATGTGACAATGACACTTACGAACTTCAGCATGTTCCAGTCAAACACATAGTCATAGGAGAAGCCTTGGCGATGGAACAAGTTCCTGAAGAGCTGCCTCAGGTATGAGTAGTCAGGTTTATCATCAAAACGCAAGGAGCGGCAGAAATTCAGGTATGTGGCAAATTCAGCTGTAAAACAAGAAGCTAATCAGTGAACCTGACTGCAATCCAGAGCGGTGTCTGCTAACACTGCTGTTTACCTCCTTGGGCTCTGTACACTGAAAGCATGAAAACACAAAATTAGAAACATTTCTCACACATCTAAGAACCAAGGCTTTAGGAAAGAGTTTTCAAACATTCAACGTTACAGAGCACAATTTAATTTTACCTAGGGGCAATCCCACAAAAAGAAAGGGGAAGTTACTAAGTTACAGCTCCAGAAGCAACAGGTGGCAGGGAGGGCAAACTGTGGTGAAGGCCAGGTCTGACCAGCCATCTCCCACCTGCTCGGCCACACAGGGGTGTCCCTGAGACCCAGCCCTGCCTCTGGGAGTTGACCCTGGACACAGGCCTATCTCACCTGCCCTTTCCAGGGCCTAAGAGAACAGCCAGCAGGAGCTCAGCAGTTACAACAGAAAGAACAAGATGGTCACCTATTACCTCCATACACAAAGGCACCCCCTCTCTTGCCACTTTTTTTTTTTTTCCTGAGACAGTCTTAAGCTGTCACCCTGGGTAGAGTGCTGCTGTGGCGTCATAGCTCACAGCAACCTCCAACTAGGGCTCAAGCAATCCTCTTGCCTCAGTTTTCCTATTTTTATAGAGACAGAGCCTGGCTTTTACTCAAGCACCCCACCTGCCTCGGCCTCCCAGAGTGCTGGGACTAACAGGTGTGAGCCACCACACCCGGCCTCTTGCCACTCTTTCTGTGGAAGGCAAGCATGCTTCTGATGTAAGTCAGATACCTGCACAGACCCTCTTAACAAGCTTTGCTAAAAAGACAAGTGTGAGGAGACTTACAAGGGTAGCCTTTACACAACACTTCAATGGGAGTGGACATTTTCTTCTCACTAATCCTTTCATACTTCTGCCTCTTGGTGGCAGCTTTCAGCCCCTGCCAGGGGAGAGAGCCTAGGTTGAAGTACATCAGCACATAACCCAAAGACTCCAAGTCATCTCTTCGAGATTGCTCTGCAAAGAAAAGGGAGACACATGAAGGACAGCACACATGTGCTTGTGTAAAAGCAAGACAGCCAGAAATACGCACATGGGAACGACTTCAAAGAAAACAGGAAAATCTACTTGGATTCTTTTTTGGCCAAAAGCTGCCCCTCCAGTGTTCCTAAGGAAATTCCTAAACTCCCCTGACGGAAGAGCATCAATGTCACAGAGAATTGCTGAAAGAAGCTCAACATTTACCTGCCCTCTCTGCCTGCCAGTCACAGAACCCAGCCTGCCTGCTACAAAGGTCTAGTGACAGCTCTAGACCTCCCAGAGGGACAGGGAGATAGCCAAACACACTCACGACCCTGAGGTCACCCCAGACATGACCAGAGGCACCCTACGTCAGTGACCCCATGCCCAGGGGCTCACCAATGCCGAGGTGGGTGTTGATGGAGGCATACCGCGCCGTCCCTGTGAGGTTTTTATTTTCCCGGTAGGGGATGTGCTGGTGGGTCCTTGCGTCCCGGTACTTCTTGGCCAGCCCAAAGTCGATGATGTAGACCAAGTTGCCCTTCTTCCCTAGCCCCATGAGAAAGTTGTCTGGCTTCACGTCTCGGTGAATGAAGTTCTTTGAATGAATGTATTCAATACGACTAATCTATAAGCAGAAAGCAAAACATGAAGATTATAACCAGGGCAGCATGCCTCAGTAACTGCACATTCTCAACCCTCTGGCCAAAGAGTAACTAAACATGGAGAAAGGACAGACACCGAACTGATCAAAGTCAACCCCTGAAGTATCTTCGGGTCCCCTCTACCCCCATGACCTGGTGCTATCTCCTCAGCTCCTACAGAGTGGACGGCAGGCTGAAGGGACAGTCATTACCAGACACTGTTCTCTACTAGCTATCCCGGATGGCACAGGCAACGCACAAGAATCTGTTTAGAAACTACTCAGCAGTTGTTAGGAATCAAATATTGTTGCTGAGAGAACCAAGAAGACCAGTGGATGGGAACATGCTACTCTGATGCTGAGAGGTTGGGTCTCCAAACCAATCACCTATGTCATTACTCTGAGGCTAAAGCTAAAAGTTAAACAAATTTCCTTTTTCTCTCTGCAAATTAACAGGCATAATAATGGACAGAAGAGTAATCAAATAATTCTCTAAGACCAAAAGGTGTATACTAAGTTTCTGAGCTGCTTGAGTACTTCAGAAAACTGGGTCCTGGTCAGGCGCAGTGGCTCACGACTAATTCCAACACACTGAGAAGCTGAAGCAGGTGGATTGCCCTGAGCTCACAGGTTCGAGACCAGTCAGAGCCAGAGCAAGACCTCTGTCTCTAAAAATAGCCAGGTGTTGTGGCAGGATCCTGTAGTCCCAGCTATTCTGGAGGTAAAGGCAAGAGAATCTCTTGAGCCCAAGAGTTTGAGGTTGCTGTGAGCTGTGACGCCATGACACTCTATCCAGGATGACAAACTGAGACTCTGTCTCAAAAAAAAAAAA